ATACGAAGAGGTTAAATTAGTGTTCGATTTTCCTGAGGGCTGTAAATAAGATTTGACAAGACCAGGTAGTTGCCTATCGGTAAATATATCCAGTACACACTTTCTGGTGTGCATTATCAGAGCGTATATGAGTATAGGCGCCATAGTCTGAACTGTTTTTACCTTCCCGATTTACTTTTTGTCAGTCATCTTAAAGTCCAGCGAGCATACGCCCCCAATTCTCTCTTCCATGCTTGCAATTTCTGGTTGAGAATTTTGGTGCCCTATTCCCTTTTTTATTTCTACCCAGGTTTTGTGATCCATAATCGAAAGCGTACTTTTGCTGAATTTAACTTCCTAAGTCACATATTATTAGTTAAGATGAGAAATCATGAAATTTATACCACCCATTTTCCCTTTACATGCCAATAGTTTGCCGAAGCAAATAACCTCGTTATTTTCTGTAGATATCGTACTTTTGGCATGGCAACGTACCACATGTATCGTCTTGACCTCTGTGCGGCCTGGCTAGTAATGCGGGTATAAGGTTATCTAAAGAGGTTTTGACAATCTAGACCTCATTTTCAGGCAGAAATTTATCATTTGCTTTACTTTACTTCGGTCAACTGGAACTAGTTTATTACACTTGTATGCTTTCATATCAACTCAGAAATACTTTCACCTGTCTTCTGAATAATTTAATGCATTGATCTTAATGAGAATGGTAATCTGAGCAAGTCGATCCTCTAAGTCCTGCCTTGCTACTACACAGGCCTAATGTTGTCTGCGCTTTCTCGTAACCCAAAATATTCTTTATTGAAAATAATGGACCTGTTCCGAAAAAATCTCCAGGAGTCTCTGGCTAAAAAAATTCGGACTATTTGTTTTCTTAGGGGAAGAATAGCGATCGTAACCTGGGGAAAAATATCTCGGATATAATGAGCCATGTTGCCTACGTATCCATTATGCAGTCGATCCTCAAGTTGAAAAAAATCAGCCCAACTACTCTACCCATTCTAATGCACATTTTCCTACAAGAATCAATGGTGAGGTTGTCTCTAGCGGTCTTTTTTGGCTCCTTACGTATTATAGCTACCTACTTAAATTTTTAAGTAGGTTGAATTACCT